GGAATAGTTCCTAGCAACAAACTAAGGAAACTAGACTATTAAGAAAGACTACCCACTATACCCTAATTGATGGAGTGTTGTACAAGCAATCATACTCTATGCCCTTATTGTGATGCTTGATGCTGTATGAGGTAAAATATGCACTTAGGGAAATGTATGAAGAGGTTTATGATAGCTATATTAGTGCTTAGACTTTAACCCATAAGGTTTTAAAACAAGGACACTATTGGCCAGACTTGTAAAATGATGCTATGGCATTCATCTAGAAGTGTTAACAATATCAATTCTTTACTCATCTTATTTATCAACTACAAGAAGAACTGACAAGTGTAGTAGAACCATGGCCATTTACACAATGAGACATTGATTTGCTTGGATCATTTGTGAAAGGGAAAGATGGAATGACACACTTGATTGTTGCTATAGACCACTTCATGAAATAGGTTGAGGCAAGATCGTTGGTTAGCCTTACTACCAAGAAGATCAAGGACTTTTTCCTCTCTTCAATCATCTATCGGTATGGTATACTAAGTAAAGTCATTATAGACAATGGCAACCAGTTTAATTGCAAAGATTTCAAATCTTTTTGCCAAAGTTATGGCCTTTTGCTCCAATTTGTCTTTGTTTATCATCCTTAAGCCAATGGCCAAGTGGAATCCATCAACAAAGTTCTCTCATAAGGAATCAAGCCAAGGATAGTTGAGAAGAAGGGAAAATGAGTAGACGAGCTGAACAATGCATTATGCTCTTATAAGATAACCAGTCGAACAACTACTAAGGAGACACCTTTTTATTCTCGTTATTGACGTGCCAAAATGGATAGAGTCACCATCTATCCAAATGAGGTGGGATAGATCACCAAGGTCTTCGTAGAAATTGATTAGGTTCGGAGGGTCGGTTAAGCGTGGGGAAGGTGTTAGGCACCCCACAAACTTCCATATAAATATGGTTACCGCACACTTTAATTTTGGGGTATTTTTTAATTTTTATAAAATAATAATTATCAAAGAAAATAAAATAAAATAAAAACTTCAAAAAAAAATCATTGTCCTTCTTTCCTCATTTTTGTTTTCAGTTTTTGCTTTTTTTTTTTCTTTTGCTTGCTTTTTCCTAATTTTTTTAAAACCCAACTATCAATAAAGTTCCTTTTACCTCCTTTTTTTTTTTTTTTTTTACCTAATGCATCTAATATCTCTGAAAAAAAATGCTTTATGGGTAAACAAAACAAAAACAAAACAAACTCTCCCAAAAAGATTCTGCATTATTCCCAACAATTAATATAACCTGATCTATAAACTTTTTTTTTTTTTTATCAAGATTAATTTTAGCAAACATGGAAGAAAACAGCTTAAAAGGGGAATCAAGCAATCACCAAAAGCAAAAGGAAAGGAGAAAGAACATAATACAATAGGAAGGCAACGCAGAAGAAAAAACAAAAAAAGAAAATTAAGAATGATGCACACCTGCAGAAAATAGAAAAAATCAAGACTTTATTTCTTGAAGTCCAAGTACAACTTTTTGATTTGCCTTTCTCACTCTCAATCTCTCCAATACTCCTTCCGGGCTTCACCAATTTTCTTCCCCTCTCTCCTGATTTGTTTCCCCAATTTTCCAATCTTCCATTCCAATCCTCCTTCTTTAGAAGCCGAAAACCCCCCCTTTTTATAGACAAAAGGAAAACCCAATCCTAATATGCCTCCAACATCCAATCCAAATCCCTAAGATAACAACCCAATCCTATTTGGAATGAGATTTCTTAATTCTTCTCACCTTTACCCCCTTTTAAGTCTAAATTCATACCTTTATGTATTAGGACTCCTTCCTTGAATCAATTTCGGACTCCTTGGAGTTGATGACTTATGGCTGGTACATCTTTATCCAATTCCTTCACTTGGCTAAGCTTATCCTCAAAGAAAAGCTTATCTTCAAAGAAATCTTCCTGGCATTGGAGTTGATGAGAGAGGAGGTGCAATAAAGAGAAAAAAAAACAGGGAAGGTTAGGGTTCAACTAACCCAGCCTTTCATTTTTTTAGCCCATTGGCAAAATAACGTCGTTTTACCATTTCCTCTTCTTAACCCCTTCAAGTTTCCAACTTTACAAAAATAGTCCATTGACTTTTAATTTTATCATTTAGCCCCTCAGTAAAAATTGGGTTATGATAGTTGCCCCATTTTTACTTTTCTTTTTTGTAAAAAAAGAAAAGTAAAGAATAAAAGAATAACCAAATTTTAAGCTTTGAAAACAATGTATAAGTGAAAGTTGCAGTCTTCATTTTATCTTTTACAAGATGTAGTCTTCATCTCCTTTTCTTCCTTAGATGCGATCTTCATTTAGGATGTGACTTTTAAGATGTGGTCTTCATCTTCTCCTTTGCGAGATGCGGTCTTCATCTCTCCTTCTTCCTTAGATGCGGTCTTCATCTAGGATGTGACTTCTAAGATGCGGTCTTCATCTTATCCTTTGCAAGATGCGGTCTTCATCTCCTCTTTTTCCTTAGATGCGGTCTTCATCTAGGATGTGACTTTTAAGATGCGATCTTCATCTTATCTTTTGCGAGATGCGGTCTTCTCTCTCCTTCTTCCTTAGATGCGGTCTTCATCTAGGATATGACTTCTAAGATGCAATCTTCATCTTATCCTTTGTGAGATGCGATCTTCATCTCTCCTTCTTCCCCAGATGCGGTCTTTATCTAGGATGTGACTTCTAAGATGCGGTCTTTATCTTATCTTTTGCGAGATGCGGTCTTCATCTCTCCTTCTTCCTCAGATGCGGTCTTCATCTAGGATGTGACTTTTAAGATGCGGTCTTCATCTT